CTTTAGTTCTTCTTTGTGCATGTTTAGCTTGGGGGAGGATGATTATAATAATCACTTTGTGCATGTTAGTTGTGTTTAGTTTATTTTTTTTATTGCTTTCTAGGTGTTGTATGGTTTGTACCATTCATTAGGAGTGGGAGTTTACATACAACGAAAAACAATGTATTGCTTTCTTAGTTTTTTTTAGTTGTTTTAATAGTGCATACTTGTGTCTATTTTTCATATTTTTGACTTCGAACCGTGTGCAGATTTGGTTTGACTCTCTTGAGCTTCTTTTAATCTTAGTTATAATTCTAAAATTCAGTCGGTTTGTGCTATACATTACTAACTACTTGACATTATGTGAATCAATTGAATAGTTTGTGGAAAGATTGGTTGTCCCATATCAAGTATAGCTAGCCAATTCTCTTTCTAGGTCACCTTACTTTGTGTTTGTGTGATTGATGCAATTTGTTATTTCAATGACTTTGGCTTGAGATTTATTAGTAGTTTGATTATGATTCACGCATGCCGCACATGATAAAGGCCATGTTCTTTAGGTAACCTTCAGATGATATTTAGATACATTTGTTCCCTTTGCTCACCCATATTGTTGCCTTGTCCATTTATTGATATATAGCTACATTACAAGCCACTTTAGCCCCATTGGTTACTATTCCCAAGTCTAGCTAGCTTGGGGAGCTTATTGATGTGGTGTTGTTGTTTGAGTGTCAAGCTTTAATTTATGCAAAATATGGTGGAATATATATTGAAAAAAAAAATGTTTCTATAGTTGAGAAGTGTTACTTGGAAAAAGAAAGAAGGAAAAAAAAAGAATAAAATAAAAATCTTGTTTATGTGTACTTCATTGAAAAAGCCGAAGAAATGAAAGAAAAAGGCAAAGAAAAAGGAAAAAGAAAGAAAAAATTTATTCATGACCATGTATAGTTGATTTCAATCTTTGTTTTTATTATGTTTGGAGAAAGTTGGTGATGTCAATTGGAGTTGGATCATTATATGATCGCGTTTATATTTTTGCTCCCCAAGTTGGCTTTAATTTATCGTGTTTAACCCTAAACATGTTTATCTATGTTGGTTGAATATTAATGTACAAATAAATCTATTATTGGCGATCACTTAAATTATAATCATATTAACCCTAAACAAGATTATTAATTATCTTATTAAGCATGATTACAAGTACCAATTCCCTTTAAACATGCATAAAAGGTGTGATCAAGCAATAAAAATAAATAAATATAATCAAGCAACATAATAAATCATAATATAAATAATAATCATAAAAATAATAATCATAATCATAATCATAATCATAATCATAATCATAATCATAATCATAATGGTAATCATAATTATCCTAATCAAGTTAAAGCATAATATTAATAGCAAGATCCTAGGCATGATACTAACAAGATTAATAACAAACCCTAGCATGTCACTAAACAATAAAAATCAAAGCATTAACCCTAACATGATACTAACAAAAATATATATTAGAAAGAACGTAGGAAGCATCATACTTTTAATCATACTTGATATTAAAGTTACCCTAGACATGATACTAGGAAGATCATAATAACAACCTAAGCATGATTTCTATATCATAATATCAATTAAACCATTAAAGTACTTACTTGGATACCTCGTACCTCTTTCTAATAACAAAATACACATGTTAGTAACTTCAAGGAAAATAATAATTAACAATTAAATTAAATAATTGAAAGAGAGATTTGGGACCAAACCCTCAGAAATTAAACCTTTCACGTCTAGGGCGAAGGCAACTTCGAACTTGGCTAGGTGTTTCTAAGTCTTGCGAATGCAGAATTTTGTATTTGAGAAAAGGCTAGTTTAGAAAAGAGAGAGAGTAATCAAGAGAATCTTGATGAGAGTTGGTGAATCAAAACGGAGTTTTTAGAAAGCTATTTATAGAGAAAATCAGACAAAAAGATAAAAAAAAAAAAAAAAAAAAAAAAAAAAAAAAAAAACTAAAACAGAGTTTTGACGCGCAAAACCAGGTTAGCGCCATACGCTGACGTTAGCGCTAGGCGCCAAGCGTAACGTTAGGCGCTACTATTGGCGTTTGGCGCTGACTAAGTTTTTGACGCGTTTCCTTAAAATCCGATAAAAATTGCCGTACAGGTGGATAAAATCGTATTTTCCTAAAAACGCTTTTTTATTCTGATTAAAACTCTAAAAAGTCAACAAAAGTCAATTTATTAATGCTAATTAAATTAGGAATGAAAAGAACCTTCTAGAAGAATCTAGAGTTCTAAAACCATTCCTAATTGCATTAGGAATGATAAATCCATATTAGGCCCTCCTCTACATCATTGGCCCGCATATAAGGCTCAAACCAGGCCCAGTTCAGTAATTTGGCCATAACTTCCTCAATATTCATCGGAATTGGGCTTATCATATATCGTTGGAAATCTCTTTTCAAGCCCTATCCAACTACCCTACTATTGAACCCATATCATGGACCAACCAAACTAGATTGGTTGTTTTCTTAAAATAGGTTTTCAAAAATAGAGAGAAGAGAAAAGAAATTAAAACTTTATGCAACACTAAACTTTCCACACTTTCACTTCATTCATTATGATTCGACGTGAAAGGTACTCATCACCGGGTTTGGTTTTGGGGAGACACAAATGGGTGTCTACAGTGCCCTAGCCACGGTCTAGCCGCGGGCGCGGAGATTTTGGAGAGGTCGCTCCAGATTAGAGAGACTGCGGCCCCCTGCTTCACCTGGAACAGGGTATTTTGCCGCGCGGGTTTTCCCAAATTGCCCGCGGAGTTAGTTATGGGTTCCGTACCCATTTCTGCGCGCCACCGGAGTCTTCTTGGTGAGGGCGCGGCCGATCAGTTTTTCTTCTTTGTCTATATATATTCTTGTATATTCTTTTAAAAGCCAACTTTTAGATAATATTTCATTTGCTTAGTTTTTAGAGAGAGAAACCTAGAGAGAAGTTACAGAGAAAGTAGAGATTGTATTATTTGGATTTGATTTGTAATTCAACATTGTTTCTTCAATCAAGTTTGGGATTCTTCTTCATATCAATCAAAATTTGTAAGATTTCTTTCCTTTGAATTTACTTCAATAGCAATTTACTTCTATGCTTGAATGTTTGGTTGGGATTTTGATTTTGTTTTGAGAATTTGTTGATTGATTGTATTTCCGTTTGATCTAGTTTGAAATGAATGTGTTTTTGATTGAATTTGTTTTAGCTTTAGATTTCACCATGATTAGTGAGTAGATTAGTTGCTAGGGAGAAGAGGAAGCATGCTTGATTGATGATTATTGTTAGTTTATGATCCTTGATTGATTGATTGTTGCAATTAAATTGGTTGACATAGTTGTGCATGTGATTAATTAGACTAGGAGTAATCAACCAATAAGATTAATCTAGATTGCATTGCAAATTCCAATGACACGAACAATTGATTAAGGAATCGCCTTAATTGATAGAATTTGATTGTGATTCTCCTTGTTAATCATTCATACTGAACCCTAGTTTCATTTATAGGAGGTAACCTTTGAATTCCTTTGATTGCAATTATTGTTTTTCCGTTGCAATGTTTGAAGTAATTAGGTGATCTATCAACTAGCATGATTGTTAAGCTTCCATGTGGAACCTATATCCCTAGTGTTTAGCAATTTGATTGAATTCTTGATTCTTGTTATCCTAGTTACCATACTCAACCATTGATAATTCTTCGATTTAGCTTAACATTAAACTGTAACATTGTTTCAATTCATTCTTTTGGGTTCAACCCTTAGCTTGCCTCTATACTCGTATAAGGTTTGTTAAGCGTTTACAAATTTAGTTTGACTTAGGGATAATTTGATTACGACCTAGTTCCAACCCTTGTCACACCCACCGGCCACCGTGTGGTGGTTAGCTGTCTTTTAAAGCAACCACTGCCGCAAGGGCAGCAGCAACAAGCAGCACTGCTGTGGCTGCAAGCCATCGTGCCTGGCCAGCATTTGCTAGTTACAGTGGCTGGTTGTTGTTAGCAGCCACTGTCGCACAAGGTAGCAGCAGCAGCTGCCCTAGCATGGTTGCGGCAGTGGTCGTGCAACACTTTCATGCTGTTGTCCAGCCACTCCGGACCACCTGCCCTCCCTCCCTCTTAGACTGACCCCTGTCGGCAGCCACCGTGGCTATGCCACCCAGCCATGGCTATCGGCCACCTTAAATAATTTTTTTTGTTGTTGTTTTTAATTTAATTAAAATAACCTTTTATTGATATTAAATTAAATTAGTCCAAAATTTAAAATTAAATCTATATTCAATTTTAAAATTAGGGTTTATCATAAATTTAATCGCAATTTAATTATAACACTTAAAATTAAATTGATGATCTTACACAAAACATTTTTATGCATGAATCAATTCAATCAAAATTATGAAACATAAAACAATTCGAATTATTTCAAAAACAACCACAAAAATCAAAATTTAGGGCGTTTAACTTTCTAAAAATGCAAAAATTCTAGGTTTAAGGTTCGAAAAATTCAAGTATTCTAGGGTAAAATTCAGTCCTTTTCATGGCTATTTTGAGCATAATTAAATCAAATTTAATCAATTCCAAGAGTTAAATCACATTTAATATAATAATTGAACCATAATTAAATTAATTTTTCCCTCTTAATTGATTATAAAATTATTAACATGGACTTCAAATAATCGTATTTCTATCATCAAGCATGTTCAAGCAAGAGGCTAACTGATACCACTGTAGGAGTTAATAGGTACTAAAAGCGTAATTTCATGAATTATATTTTATAAAAACGGGAAAAGGTTCGGCCGAACTCAAGGTAAGTTCGGTCGAACTTTTGGGTAGGTTCGGCCGAACCTAGGGATGGTTCAGTCGAACTGTCCTGCTTCTGGTTCGGTCGAACCTTTGGAGTTCGACCACTGCAGAAAAACTAACAAAATAGGGTTTGAAACTACCTTAATGGTTTGGTCGGACTTCCTTGGTTCGGTCGAACCACTTCAATTCTTCTTGTCTTCAAGTGTGATGATGGTTAGTCCCGAATGGTGACCTCCAAGAAGCTTGGCCTGACTTCGTGTCACGACACGTGGCACGTCTTCCACTAAGTTCCATGCACCCGCTTCAAACCCCTCCCCTTCAAAAGGAATTTCCCTCATTTCCGGATCATCGTCACCAATATCATCTTCAAAAAGAAAAGGAGCAAGATCACCAACATGAATTTTAAAGTCTCTCAGTAGTTTGAGTTTGTAAGCATTAGGTCCAACTCTCTCCACAACTTCTAAGGGGCCTTCGAATCTTGGCATGAGCTTGTTCTTTCTATTAGCCGGGAATCTTTCCTTCCGAAGATGGAGCCACACAAGATCACCTACATTGAATGCCCTTGGCTTCTGGAATTTGTTTTCTCTTATGTAAGGAATATTTCAAGCATTATCCCAAACTTCAACCCCACTGTGATCATACACTTAAGCAAGGTGGCGTCCAGAGGGAAGGAAGCTAGAGCAAAAGAGTCGCCAACAAGTTTTAGGAACTTGTAAACCGTTCACAGGGTGAAGGTCCAATCCGTCTGGAACCATGACTGGAAGTTCGGGGATGAAGGTACAAATCAAACATAAAGAGATTGAACTTGCCCTTAAAACAGGCCTCTACTTTATTCTTCTCATATTCATGTGTGCGTTCTGACTAACATACAATCAATAGGTTAACCCTAAACCTTTTTAATCTGTGTTGGTTGAATATTAATGCACAAATTAATCTATTACTGGCGATCACTTGAATTATAATCAAATTAACCTAAAACAAGAATATTAATTATCTTATTAAGCGTGATTACAAGTACAAATTCCCATTAAACAGGCATAAAAGGTGTGATCAAGAAATAACAATAAATATAAATATAATATAAAGCAACATAATAACAATAATCATCATAATAATAATAACAATCATGTTAAAAATAAGGCATAATAATAGCAAGATCCAAGGCATGATACTAACAAGATTAATAACAAACCCTAGCATGTCACTAAACATCAAAGATCAAAGCTTTAACCCTAATATGATACTAACATGATATCAGGGTAGAAATAGGAAGTATCATAGAAATCATAATTGATATTAGAAATATTAATTATTACCCTAAACATGATACTAGGAAGCAATAAAACATCCTAACCTGATACTAGGAATCAAAATAATCTAAACATGACTTTTGTATCAAAAGATCAATAAAGCAATTAAATTACTTACTTTGATGCCTCGTACCTCTTTCTAATAACAAAATGCACACGTTAGTAACTTCAAGGAAAATAATAAAATTAAAGAATTAAACTAAATAATTAAAATAAAGATTTGGGACCAAACCCTAAGAAATGTCAAACCTTTCACGTCTAGGGAAAAGGCAACTTCGAACTTGGCTAGGTGTGTCTAGTGCTAATGTATGAGGAATTGTGTTTGTAAAAGGCTAGGCTAGAAAGAGGGAAAGAGAGAATAATCTTTTATCTTAGACAGAGAGAGAAGAATTAGAGAATTCTAGCTGTTGAAAAACGGAGGTCCAGGGACCTTATTTATAAGAAAATAGTCCGGAATCGATAGAAAAGAATCAGAGTTCAAAAAGGAATAAAACACCTCCCTGTCGCCAGCGACAAGGCTCGTCGCCAGGCGCTGCACTGCAGCGCCAGGCGACAAACCTGTCGTTTGGCGATGTAGAAGGTTTTTAACGCGCTTTCAACACGGAATCTATTTCTCGATAAAATTGAGTCGCAAATTTCGTGTTAAGGGTAAAATCGTATTTTCATATAAAACACTTCTTTTATTCCAAATAAAACTCATATGCATAATTATCAATCCTAATCCTATTAGGATTTAAGAGAACCTTCTAAAAGATTCTAGAAAAATATAATCAATCCTAATAGCTTTGAGAATGATAATTAATAATAGGCCTCCTTTAGATCATTGGGCCGCATATAAGAACCAAACCGGGCCCAATTTAGTATTTTGGCCATAACTTCCTCATTATTCATCGGAATTGGGCTTATACAATTTCAGGGGAAAGCTCTTTTCGAGCCCCATCCAACTACACCATGATTAGACCCTTGTCATGGACCAAACTGAACTAGACTAGCTATTTTCATAAAATAGAGCAGGTTTTCTAAAATAGAAAGAAAGATTTTTTATAAAAACAAACCACAACATTAAACTTTTCACACTTTCACTTCATTCGATTATGATTCGACGCGAAAAGTATTCATCACTGGGTTTGGTTTTGGGGAGTCACAATTGGGTGTCTACACATTGCCTTGTAACTCTCATTTGCCTTCTCAATTCTCTTTTTAACATCTTCATGAAGCTTTTTCATCGTTTCAACTCTATCTTTTTCCTCAAAGCTCAACTCCTCTTGAGGGATACTAGGCAACAAGTCACGTGGTAGGCGGGGATTATAACCATACACTACTTCAAATGGTGTTTTCCCGGTAACTATGCAATGAGAGCGGTTGTAAGCAAATTCAACTTGAGATAGCTTAAGATCCCAATCTTTCATGTGTTTGCTAATGATAGCTCAGAGAACGGTTGACATGGTATGATTAGTTACCTCGGTTTGGCCGTCGGTTTGAGGATGACTAGAGGTACTAAACAAGAGCTTGGTTCCCACTAACTTCCACAAAGTCTTCCAAAAGTAGCTCAAGAACTTAGGATCTTGGTCCGATACAATACTTTTTGGAATGCCATGAAGCTTCACCACTTCTCTAAAGAACAAGGTAGCCACATGAGAAGCGTCATTGGTCTTGTAACAAGGAATGAAGTGAGCCTTCTTGCTAAAACGATCAACCACAACAAACACAGAATCATTTTGCCTTTGAGTGCGAGGGATAGCAACCACAAAATCCATACTAAGATCATCCCAAGAGTGACTAGGGATCGGAAGAGGAGAGTACAGTCCTTCACGGAATTGACTCTTAGCCTTGTGAAAAGCCCCACAACGAGCTATCACATCTTGCACATCACTAAAAATCTTGGGCCAATAAAAAAGTTCTCGAAGAATGTCATATGTTTTTGCAACCCTAAAGTGTTCGGCTTGTCCTCCTTGATGAGCTTCTTTAACAAGCAATTGTCGATGAGAGCATTTCGGAACACAAAGCGTGTTTCCCTTGAAAAGGAAACCCTCTTACCATGAATGAGCCATCTACCCCTTCCTTACGCTTCTTCGTCAACCCACCAAAATCCTCATCATCGCTATGCAACTCTTTAAGCAACTCAAATCCTAAAAACTTTGCATCAAGAATAGTGATCATACAATGCCTCCTAGAAAGAGCATTGGCGACAACATTGCTCTTACCTTCCTTGTACTTAGAAGAGAAAGTGAATGATTGGAGGAATTTAACCCATTTGGCATGCCTTGCATTAATTTTATGAGAACCATTGATATACTTGAGAGATTCATGATCGGAGTGTAGCACAAATGGTCTAGGCCTCAAGTAATGTGACCAATGAACAAGAGCCCTTACAATAGCATAGAACTCCTTTTCATAGTTACTATATCTCTCATTCTTGCTCCACCAAGCTTCTCACTAATATAAGCAACCGGTCTCCCTCCTTGCACACGAACCACTCCGACTCCAACCCCACTAGCATCACATTCAACTTCAAAGGGTTGATCAAAATTCAGAAGAGCTATAATTAGAGCCTCACACAACTTCTTCTTGAGGGTCTCAAAAGCCCTTCGAACCAATAGTATCCACACAAAAGTACCCTTCTTCATGCATTTGGTCACCGGGGCCAAAATAATGCTAAAATTCTTCACAAACCTTTGATAGAAGGAAGCTAGACCATGGAAACTCCTAACTTGAGTGAGAGTAGTAGGAGTAGGCCAAGATTGAATGGCCTCCACTTTACTAGGGTCTATTGAAATCCCTACATTCGAAATCACATAACCAAGAAAAACAATACTATCCACCATAAAATTACACTTTTCCAACTTGGCAAAAAGCCGCATACTTCTCAATGTTTCAAATACTTGCCTGACAAAGGGTAAAACTAGGTCGTCATCTAATTCTCCCTTGGTCAAACTAAATATTTAAACACTTAACAAACCTTATACAAGTCTGCGGTAAGTCAAGGGTCGAACCCAAAGGAATGAATAGGAACTACGCTATAGTCTATTGTCAAGGTAAATCGAAAGAATATCAATGGTTGAGGTTGGTAACTAGAATAACAAGAATCAATACAAATCAAAGAATTCAATCAATATGCTAAACACTAGGGATATAGGTTCCACATGCAAGCTCAAAGATTATGCTAATTGATAGATCACTCAATTGATTCAAACATTGCAAGGGACAAACAATAGTTGCAATCAAAGGAATTCAAAGGTTATCCCCTATAAACCAAACTAGGGTTCACTATGAATGGCTAACAAGGAGAATCACAATCAAATTTAATCAATTAAAGCAATTCTCAAATCAAGGGTTCATGTCATTGAAATTTGCAATGCAATCTAGATTAATCTTATAGGTTGATCACTCCTAGTCTAATTAATCAAATGCACAACTATGTCAACCAATTTATTTGCAACAAATCAATCAATGAATGATCATAACTAGAAAAAATAATTAATTAAGCATGCTTCCCCTCCTCCCTAGCAACTAATCTACTCACTAATCATGGTGAAATTGAAAGACAAAACAAATTCAATCACAAACATATTCATTTCAAGCTAAATCAAAAGGAAAATTAATCAATCAACAAAATTCTCAAAACTAAATCAAAATCCAAACCAAACATTCAAGCATTAAAGAAAATTGCAATTGAAGTAAATTTAAAGGAAATAAATCTCACAAACTTTCATTGACATGAAGAAGAAATCCAAACTTGATTGAAGAAGCAATGTTGTAATATAAATCAAATCCAAGAATTACAATCTCTACTTTCTGTCTCTAAAAACTAAGCAAATGAAATATTATCTAAAAGTTATCCTTCTAAAGGATTTACAAGAGTATTTATATACAAAGAAGAAAAACTTATCGGTCGCGCCCTCACCAAGAAGATCCCGCGAGCGCGGAGAAATGGGTACGGAACCCATAACTAACTCCGTAGGCAATCTGGGCAATACCTGCGCCCACGGCGAAGACACCGGCGCACGCGGCTCAGGGTGCGGCAGATGCCCTGTTCCAAGTGAAGAAAGGGGGGTCGTGGTCTCTTCAACTTGAGCGGTCTCTCCAGATTCTCCGCGCCCGCGGCTAGACCGTGGCGAGGGCGCAGAGAGTTCCTGCCAATAATCATCAAGTTGATGCACTTTACACGCGCCCGCGGCAATGAATAGATACAGAGCGCCCTCTCCGAGCCCTCTCCAAGCCCTCTCTAAGAGGCTTGAATCTCTTTTGCTTAACTCTTTTTGCTCCGCTTGATTCCTTTGAGAAGCTAACTCCTTAAGCACCTACAAAAGTAACCAAAGAGAGAAAATAGAAGACAAAAAGGGCAATATAAAAGAGAAACACGAAGAAAGCCACATAAAGGAAAGTTAAACACAAAGAAAGAAGAAATAGAGAAACTAAAGGATAAAAGACCAAAATCATAAAAGAAAACCATGAAAAATAAGGAGAAAACATCCTAAAATACTACCCTATGAATGCCATAAATGACACACATCATTGCCTCAAATTTTTAACATCATCAAGTTCACATTTGCTATAAACAAGTCCGTCATCAAAATAAACAACAACAAATTTACCATTAAAGGGGCGAAGTACCTCATTCATGAGCCTCATGAAAGTGCTAGGAGCATTAGAGAGCCCAAATGGCATAACTAGCCACTCATACAAGCCTTGCTTTATCTTGAAAGCGATCTTCCACTCATCTCCTTCACGCATGCGAATTTGTTGGTACCCTATCCTCAAGTTAATCTTCAAAAACACCTTAGAACCATGTAACTCATCAAGCATATCATCAAGTCGGGGAATAGGGAAGTGATACTTCATGGTGATGTTATTGATGGCCCTGCTATCCACACACATCCTCCATGTACCATCCTTTTTCGGAACCAAATGAGCCGGAACCGAACAAGGGCTAAGGGATTCCCTCACAAATCCTCTTTCAATCAACTCACCAACTTGTCTTTGAAGCTCTCTTGCTTCATCAGGGGTACACCTATAAGCTGGTCTATTAGGGAGTTGTGATCCAGGAATAAGATCGATTTGATTCTCAGTTCCCCTAATAGGTGGCGAACCGGGTAGGAGATCATCGGGAAAAACATCATGGTAATCAACCAATACATCCTTTACAAGGGGTGGATTGGGTTCTCTCGCTCACTCTCTTGTGTTTCCCTAAAAAGACAAATAAAGACAAGGTGTCCTTGATTTATCTCATTTCCCATCTCATTTTTCCCAATGAGAAGGTTCTCTTTGATTGTGTTTCCCTTACCCAAAGGTTCTTTGTGTTTTATGGTGGGGGATAAGGGGTTGAGTACAATCTTCTTCTTATCCATCATGAATGAATAAGTGTTCTATCTTCCATCATGCATTACATCTCTATCAAATTGCCAAGGTCTACTAAGAAATACATGACAATCATCCATAGGCAATACATCACAAAGCACCTCATCCTTATATAGCTTGCCAATTGAGAAAGAAAGAAGAGTTTGTTTCGTTACCTTCACCTCATTGTGATTGTTAAGCCATTGAAGCTTGCAGGGAGTAGGATGATTGGTAGTTTCAAGATTGAGCTTACTCACCAATGCTGTTGAAGCCACATTAGTGCAAGAGCCACTATTAATGATAAGGTTGCAAACTCGATCCTTGATGGTGCAACAAGTTTGGAAGATATTTTCCCTTTGCTCTTCCGCCAAAGGGGTAGAAATGGAGTGAAGTGCCCTCCTCACAACAAGGATTTGACCCTCATCGGCTTCAACTAGAACCTCATCCTCTTCATCATATATAGGGTCCCCAAAATCCCTCTTTTCATCTTCGTACTCATCATCATCCATTTCACAAATCATCATAGCTCTACTATTTGGACACTCATTAGCAAAATGTACATAACCTCTACACTTGTAGCAAGTCTTCCGATTGCTCATCTTGTTATGATCATCTTTGCTAGAAGAGTGGATGGGAGCCTTGCCTTTGTCATCCTAGCAATCTTATGCTCCGGTGCTTCTTCAATTCCACTCATGATAGAAAGTTTCTCAAACTTCCTAGTATACTTCTCTACCGACATAGTTCCTTGCTTAAGAGAGTTCAATTTAAGATAAGCATCTTGCAAATAATCTTTAGGCACAAAGGCCTCGTTCATAGGTTTCTTCAATTTCTCCCAAGAAGTGATTTTTAATTTTCCATCTTTCCTCCTACGATTCTTTAAGTTCTCATACCACAAAGAAGCATGTTTTTTTAGTTTAAGGATGGCCAATTTGAAACGTTTTTCATCATTATAACCCTTATATTCAAACACATTCTCCATACTTCTAACCCAATCAAGAAATTAATTAGGATCAAGATTAACTTCAAAGTCCGGAAATTCCAACTCGATATCTCGGTCACGGTTGTCCTCATGGTGTCGTTGGCGGTGTTCCCTTCTCCGGTGAGGAGAGTGAGAGTCATCTTATTCACTAGGGCTTCTCCTTATTCTAGGACTTCTTCTATTATCCAAAACCTCAAGAAGTTTATCAAACTTCCTTTCTAGAGAATCCAATCTAGAGTGTTCATTGTAACTTTCATCATCTTCAAAATAGTATCTATCACCCATGTTTCAAGATAGAAAGCTTGTATTTTTAAGAGAAATTTCAAATTTTTGTGGGAAAAGATGAGTTCTTTTGAAAGGGGGAAAGAGAAATTCAAAAGGTAGGATCTTTCTAGGCTAATAACCTAGGCTCTTGATACCAAATGATATGAAATAACCAACAAAACCCAAGAAAAAAAGGGAGGAGAAATCAAGTAACAATAAGTTCAAACCAACAAAATAAGGCAAACCTATCTCAAAATCACAAAGATAATGAAATAGGGGGTCTTAATCAAAGCCAACACTAGGTAAAGCTAGGATTAAGGTGTAACCACAAAGATTACAAGGTAGCAATCACAAAGAAAGTAAGATAATCAAAAAGATTATGGTAGAGAGAGAGAAAGTCTCTTTGATTACAAAATCAAGCAAAGTTCAACATTATTTAAAATGCAAAAACGTCTTAAAATAACTTAAATAATTCGCACAAGTTGACAGAAAAATGGGAAAAGGTTCGGGCGAACTATGGGTAAGTTCTGTCGAACTCGTGGGTAGGTTCGGCCAAACCAAGGGATGGTTCGGTCAAACTGTCCTGTTCCTGGTTTGGTCGAACCTTTAGAGTTCGACCACTGCTACAAAACTGAAAAAATCGGGTTTGAAACTGCCTGAATGGTTCGGTCGGACTTCCTTGGTTCGGCCAAACCTCTTTAATTCTTCTTGTCTTCAAGTGTGATGATGGTTTGTCCCGAAGGGTGACCTCCAAGGAGCTTGGCCCGACTTCGTGTCACGACACGTGGCACGTCTTCCACTTCTTCCACTAAGTTCCATGCACCCGCGTCAATATTCATAAGCACCTAAACCAAGATCGCATGCATAACACACAAGACATATAATCATACCTTTGAAGAATGATATGTACGTACCTATTCAATTGGCAAATTAGGGAGAGAATAGAGCCCCAAGCGTTGTTCCTTTACTTTGTCAACGGGATTTGAACAAGTCGTCCACTAATACGCGATTGTTCGAGTAAAAGGGAAAAACCACGATCACCACCTTCAACGGACAACCGACCACCACACGAACCACCACAGGCGCTGAGGAGGTGGAGAGATCCGTGAGAAAGAGAGAGAAAGAATATGAGAAGGGTTAGTTTTGTGTTTGCTAACTAGGGTTTGATCTTACCTATTACTGAATTGTCTGTCCAAAACCTAGGCACCTAGTCTATATATAATACTGTTATGATTAGACTAGGTTACGAAGCCCAATTCCCTCCATAACTCTCTACATGGT